TTTAAACTGGATTCATTAATTGTCACCCTGGTGATCGTACAAAGATTGACTTGAAGTTGTGGTTGTTGATTTGTGCCAAAAAGTTCACGGCATACCATTTAGAGACTCCGATGATTCTATGACGAACATTCGCTCGTCCCACTGCGATAGACATGACCAGAGCTAGAAATCATCTTTTATGACAACTAACCCATACAGTAAGCCAATAAATAGTAAAAGATATAATTATTAAGGAATCCTTCAAAATCCAGCTTTTCTTGTTTATAGTTCGTGCGTCCAACTAAGTCGCCCTGAAAACACGACCAAGTTGCGCAAGCGATGTCAGGTCAGTATAGTTGACTTACAATTCTGCTTTCAGATCCGTACTTCTGAGCTATTTGTGAGGTAGTACCATAATTTGTACTCTCATCAGGGCTTTAATCGGAACTGTAGCCACCCTAAGCCGCAAAAAGGGATGAGAAACCGAGTTGGGGCAAAAGAAGAAGAGTTGAAAACGTGAATATTTTATTTACAGTTTAGATGCACTCATAATTTGAGCATCAAAGGGGGAAAATACACAAGATTACTTATTTATTGCGAAACTTATGTATGCCATTAATATTAACGCATGATGTTTTATTAATAGAATTCCTTCCCTCTTTCTTCTTTTTTTGCTTAACAACAAATCTTACCGTTCAAATCACATTTGATGTTGTCCAATATTTTTTTCGTAATTTAATTTAATTTGTGTTGCCTTTGCTCTAACCCAATAAAACGGCCCTACTTAACATTAAACTCTCGCTTGGAAACGGAACGACCATGGCATGATAAGGGTCCGGGCACATCTGAGGCCGGGAGCACGTGTTTCGTTTTAAAAACACTAACTTGTATGCTTCAAAGAACTTCATTTTTCTAACTTCCCAAATTGATCAACCGATGTTGACCCAGTCCAATATTATTTTACTTTTCACATCTTTATTGACTAAACTATATAAAAAAGGTCAGTCATGATGACTGGAATGCAAAACAATCCCACCAAATTTGCATTAAACTACACTATCACTAACTAACCTGAGGAACCAAATTTCGCCACCCCACTTATAGCCTGTAACTGTGGCAATCATACTCAGGAGTGCCGGTTTAGCGTGAAAGCTTTTCGTCAATCGGGCGGAGTCAGTGGAAGCGTGTGCATTGGGTGCAGACACAATACAGAGGGCCAAAATTGCGACCGATGTATCGCCGGCTACACCCTGAACCTCAACAAAGAGGCAAAAGAGAAGACTTCGTGTGAAGGTAGTGCTTGTCTGTAGTCATAGCAACTACAAGATATCGTTATTTAAGGCCGGAATTTGGTCGTGAGGGTCATCTTTCGGATGAAGGTCCGTAAGCCCTATGTCTTGCCGCCGTGTTGGCTACCGATAACGTCGCTAGGATCACATGAACATTCAGTTTCTCCCAAACCCGGATCTTGGCATCTCGTTAAGTCTTTTAACTGACGCCTATTCTGTTGCCTGTATACTTGGCCTCATAGTGACATGCAGGACAAAAAGAGTTGGCTTTTTTCAATATTTCCAAAGCTACGGAATAGCATAGGAGACGAGACTCCGGCAAAAAACACTCAATATCACATTTTTCATTTATAAGTAGACTCTCGAGATTACTAAATCTCATATAAATCCGTATAAAAACCTGAACCCACCTCGATAAAGCAGGGCCTAAATGCTTCCTTCTGGAGAAGTCCGACAAATTCATGTGGGCCGAGGCATGCTAAAGAAATCAGGAGCTAAGCTCTTTTTTCTGCTCCAGGGAGCAGAGGTGGCCCTAGAGTACGCATGCGCTAAACTGGGTGCAGTAATTGACTATCCTCTCTTCAATTAAGACCTTTTTCGGCTCTTCATCCGGAAGGTCTATATATGCATATATATATATTGGTGTGTGTGTGTGTGTGTGTTTGTATAGATAGGGACATGCGGGTCTGTTCCCTACAGCCGAGCATTCGCTAACTTGGTAGGAAAAGATTCTGACATATCTTGACAAGACAACAGCATGCATTTGCTTCGATAATTCGATATTTTGCCATTTAATCCAAAAGGCCAATTCAATTAACCCTGATCGGCTCCCCGCATCAACGCCTTGGCAGCAATTAAACCTCGAACTTCGGTTTGGCCCTCCAGACTGTTGGTAACCGAGCCGGGCTCGCCCTTTTGCCCACTCCATTTCTGCACTAACCTAACCTGTCCTGAATGAACATTAATTCTGTTTTCTTCTGTTTAATGTTGAGAATTTGTGTTAACTCTGCGCTAACCAAGATGATTATGTGTTGTCTTGTCTTGTCCTGTCTTGTTCCGTTCGGCTTGACTTCCATATGCAATGGGGCCGAGGCTGTGTCTTTTATTTTGCCTCGTCGCCCCGCCTCGGCCGTTTGTCTGACTTATTTATTTGCATTTCCCAACCGCACAATCTGCTCGTTTGGGCGTCTGTAGATCTGCCTCTTGTCCGCCCTTCTACACTTTCTCTTCTCACCTCAACCGATGAGTACGTTTGTGCGCCAACCTGTTGGTGTAGTACCATTTCGACTAACGGCCTTCCAACCAAGGCAATAACGAGTGTCACAATTTCCACTAAACCCTGCATCTGTTAAGCCCTTCTCCTCCCGCCTCCCAATCTTAATTGACATGATCAATCTCCATTTCTTTTTCACTCATCTCCCACATTTGATAAATATTTGCGCAAGCTCCAGTTCCACTTTATGCATACATACATGCATGCATATATACATACATACACACAAACATATATATATATATATATATGAAGTGTGAGTCAGGTTTTTCCATCTATTGCAGCTTTCACTACCATCTCTGCTGGGTATCCATGGTATTGTTTGCAGATGACTTCAAAGATGTCTGGTAAAACTTTATCTGCCTACTTATTTTACACCATATATATATATATATACATATGATATATGTATAAAGTGTAACTGGAGCTCGCACAAATATTTGGGAGATGAGTGAAAAAGAAATGTAATTGACCATGCCAATCCAGGTTTTGGCTTAGTCTATTTGACTCGATGGCTTGAAGTTTGTATAATAATGGGCTCCAGCTCTGAGGATGCACGCCAAGTGGCCCGAATCGGGGACAGCCTCAATCTATACGTCATGGTCAAATCCAACGACTCCATACTCAGTTACAATTCATATATAAATAAATAAAAATATATATATATATCAATTGCCAGTCAAATTTTTCCAGATACTGCAGCTTTCTTGATGACTGTCCTGAGATACCATTGTTGTGATCACCCTTTTTCGTGTGAAAGGGTCTAATGAATAGATTTCTGATAGAACTCTCATCCAAACATGACGACCGATTCATATTTTGCTCTGAAGTCGTTGGATTTGACCATGACGTCTTACTTGACGCTGTCCCCGATGCATGCCACTTGGAGCGCATCCTATGAGCTGGAGCCCATTGCTACACAAACTTTAAGTTATCGAATCAAAAACACTAACCGTCTCTACCTTACATGCCATGCATATTCAAACAATTAGTAAAAAAGAACAGAAAAAACATTTAGATAGATACATCATTATTTGGATAGCTTTCTTCCACGTTAGATTATTTACTTGTTTGTTTGTTTGTTTGTGTGTTCGTTTGTGTCTGTGTGCTAGCCAAGGTACTAAACCGCAAGTCATAACTTCGAGTTATTACATCAGAAACGATGGTAGTAACTAATGATGGACCAGTCAAGCCTTAAGACCATATATTTATTAGTTTAATGTGTCTTTCATGCCTCTCACGCAACCACTCGTATCCTCGAGACGACGCAATCACAATCATACTTTCCAAAAGTTATTGAAGCTTCATGACACTGACATGATGCTATGCTCTTATGTAACGATTAGGGGTTTATTATTTGCGGTTTCATACTTTGACTCGCATACGCATACGTGCATGTATACATTAAGATATGCTGATAAAGAAGAAAAGGAATTAGCCGAATCATTATATATCTATCTATCTTTTTCTGTTCTTTTTTAGTTAATGTTGCATTTATATACGGCATGATTATCGCGAGTTTAGCCAATTGTTCTCCAACCGAAGGATGATGTCTTGAAGTAAAACGAAAATCAGTCGTCGCCTAGTTGGGACTGAATTAATAATCTCTTAAACAGATGATTTCACATGAAAGATGCCACAACAGTTTATCTCCACCATTGGTCAAATATGCGTTTACGACACCAACCGCGCCAAGGCCTCGTCAATCCTAAGAAGCGAGAGCTTTTGTAAGGAAACTGCCTATTAATCGACGAGCAACAACCGTTTTGTATGGTTTTACACAAATTGACAGCCATTTCATCCACGAAGAATTGTTGCAGAGCCACTTTCTCACCTCGAAGCAACCTGCGATACAGAGCCCAGGAGGTTGTTGCCTTCCAGGCTGGACTGTTTCCACGGAAGATGTTGCCTGAGACACGTCTGCTCTGGCTTAAAAGTCATGCTAGGCTACGGCCATGTGACCCTGTACCCGGACAACCATACTTTGAGTGTCGCTTGGGATTCTGCAAAAAAATGATGTGGCGATATCGGAGGCGAGCGACAGCTCAAGCCGAGTGATAAAGTGAATTTCATCGCAAAATCAGGTATCTTCAGCAGATTGAATGACTGCCAGCCTCATTGATAAGCAGGTTTCCTTGCAACAGGGCTCAGTTGTAGCATTGCTTCCATCGCTTCAACATCATCATTACTTCTGCCAAACTAACCTTTAACCATTACGGCAACGCATGTATTGCCCATTATATCCGGCATGAGTAGATTTCAAAAAAATCAACCAGGATTGCTTAAGGTCTGATAGTGGAGTTTTTTCACAATTACATGAATAGGCGTCATGACACCTCGCGAGGGATTCGAACCCGGGTCCTGCTCATCGGGGCAACACTCTTCCACTCCACTTCACAGTCCCGGGTGCCGGATGTGGCTTTCAAGGCAAGCCAGACCTCTGCTAAATCGCATTTATGGATGGTTTGAAGACGAGGGGAACTTTAATTTGCTCTTAAGCTCGACAACTCTACTGATATTCTCTATGAGTAGGCTTCACAAATATAAAATAAATGTGGAAAAAAACTCCACTATCGGCTAGCAAATCATCTTGAGCGACCTAGAACTATTGTGTCCGTACTCCCAATGAGTACAGTTGAATTATTTGAGTACTTGCTAACTTTTTTAA